ATTGTTATTCTTTGTGATGGCTTTGGAAGCTTTTACTTTATGGGCATGGCTTTCATTTCTGTTTCCTTTGAATATTTTATCTTGTCTCATCATAATTACAATTTGACCCAACTTATGACATTTTATTTAGTTGCCTGATTGGTGGCCTGATTTAGGTCAGGTGTTTAAGGAATGAATATGCTATAAAGCATTGTCTTTATTTCTTAAAATTGCACAGTTCTGTACCTAGGTTTAAAATATTAATGTACAGTAACTTACTTTTATGTTTGGGGAAACATGAATATCGCTAGGGAACAGAACATGTCCATATTTATTTTTTAACACAGCTGCCAGACACTGAATGGAGATTTGCACACTACACATTTATTTCTCCAGATCACTTCAGAATGACAAGTCTGTCAACCAGAAACTATGGAGTTATTAGTTTTCTTCGCCTTTTAAGTTTCCAGACTGACAGCAGAGTCCTGTTCATGCTGTGTATGAAAAGATTATCTACAGTAAGCCATGTCTCAGATGGCAGACTCACGTTAGAGATATCTCTTAATCCAGCAAGGAAAGCTATGCACATGCATGAGGGTGTTTGCAAAGCAGCATACTGTTTGCATATTATTTGTAGTGTTGAAGTTTTTTATTATTTTTATAGACTAAGTAAAAGTCAAAATGAATTCCTATTTTTTGTTCAGAATTGAATTTTGTCAGTATATATTTGCAGACTAAATGTGAGCAGTACTGGCCTGAACAGGGGTCCCAGATCTATAATGACCTCAGAGTTTCACTGCATACCCAGACAAAAGATCCTGAGGTCACCATGCGAGTCTTTGGACTACAAAAGGTAAAATGACTGAAATTCTGCAAATAGTAAATACCAAACAACCCTCTTCCTAAAATATTGAATATGCTTTTGCCTTTGTCTTGACTCTTCAGTGACACTTGTTTAACATGGTTATAAAAATGAAATGCAAAAATGATATATACTATGACAAAAATATAATTGATTGCTTTAATCATATTCATCTCCTGGACTCCTTTCAATTTCCAAAGTCATGTTTTTCATATCAGAATTTAATTTTAATATCTCCTTGTGTCATTGCTATGTTCTGGTATCTGTCACCTCCTGTTTGTTTTACTTAATTATTGAAGTCATTTATTCATATGCAAAAAAATCAGTTATCAATATACCTGTGTAAAAGGTATTTGTAAAGTATTTATGCTCTTCATTTATATTAATTCCTGACCTACACATACAAATGTAGTGACGAATATGAATAAGCAATGTCAAAAGTTCATGTTGAATAAATCATAACTTATCATGTAAATTTAAAATGTAATCCGTGCAGTTTTTTTAAAAAAGGAAATGAAGGCTATAATTAGCCTAGCATCTAGTGTGCTGCCATATAATTTCTGTGTATTCTTTATTTTGGCTAAACACCTATTTAAAAGATTAGTGTTTACACCATTATTTTACATTTCATAATCTGGCACTATTGATGAAAAATAGTTTGTTTTCTAAAACCAAAATAACAAAAGGAGAAAGAGATACATGCAATTTATATTGCAATTTATATGCCCAAGTGTTTCACTATATAGACAGATTATCGTTTCTTTTTTCAAGGTTGGGGGCTGTAAACATAGAATTGTGAGACAGTTGCATTATACAGCCTGGCCTGATCATGGCACTCCTCGGAGACCTTTAAGCCTCCTACGCCTTGTCAGACTGACAAACAACTGGTGGGCAGACAACAGAGGGCCAATCGTGGTCCACTGCAGGTGAGACTACTATATATTGAGATAACACACCTGATGTGCTCACCTTGCAGAATCTGAAACAGTCAATATTTTCAATTTGTCATCAGCACTTACATAACCTTGAGCTGTAAGGATGCTGCAAGCTAAGGGTTTACAGAGGGTCTATTCTAATGAAGTGGCCCCTTCTGAAAGAATAAAAAGGGACAACGTACAGTAAAAGTGATTTTCTCCTGCTTTGCTCTGATCCCAAGCATTTCCAGATAGTTTTTTATACCTTCGAACATCCTCCCAAGTTACCATAAACGTCTTGTTTAGGAGGAAGAGATGCTTAAGCATACAGTATGTGGGACCAACATAAATATAATCATAATGAAAGAATATTTTTGACGCATCATATTCTCCACCTTCCAGACGCTCTGAAATGTCTCTCGGTTACAAACATTTAACACAACAGGTGTCTTCCTTCCACTGCATGTGCAAAGCTCAACCCAATTTAGAAGGAACCCTATCGCAGACCAAACCCAACAAGCACTCAATCATAATAGAAAACAAAAGGCAAAAATGTAGTTATTTTCCTTTTAAAATGATTGTTTTCAAAGGTCTTTGTTAATTATTAAAGGCTTACTCCATAAATGCATGGGTTTATCTTAAACAGTACTACCTTGATAAATGGTGGGTAACAAATGCTGATGACTCATTATCTGACTCGTTTTCAGAAAGTCATGCACATCTTTTTTTATCTGTGGTTATGAGTTCCCTGCTAGCTTAGCTGGTGCTGTATTTATAGCATTGAATTGCCTTATGTGTCACATTACCATAATGTGGTACAAATGATTTTTTTTGTAGAACAGGGAAGTGCACCTATTATAGAATGGCACTGGTTAAAATCGACATGAATGAAATCCAAAATTTTATTTGGATTCAAAAACCAAAACAATTTCACCTGATCGGAAATACAGGGAGGTAGTGTTGAGGGTTTGAACATATCGCAAAACAAGAATCTGCATGGTTTTGTATACACTAGTATTTGGATATTAAAGTCAAAGGTTGTATCAAAAGTCTTCCTTAGCTTATTAATGACCTCAGTCAGGATAGGATAATCTGATGAAAAGGCAACACATCATAATGCTGAATATTACATAAAAAAGATACAAGCAACATTTTTACATTTTAGTCAAGGAACCCTAGATACAGTATTTACATTTTTCAAGCTCTATAAATAAATGTCTATTAGCTAAATGCATAATATATGCTGAATTAAATCTTAGTGAAAATCTTAGTCCTGAAACAGAAAATAAATATGCTAAGAATGTATATACAATGGCTGTAATTAAAATAAAAAAACATTCTGACAAGACGTTGGAAAATTGCCTGGTATTTTTTTTCCTTCCTTCACCCAAAACTTGTAATTAAGGAAAATAAAAATAACAAGATGCCTAAAATTCTCAAGCTCCCTTCAGCAAAAAAATAAAATATACAGTGGATTTCAATAACAAAATAAAACTTGCACTGGGAAACCATTCGAAAAGAGAAAGTTGAAAACTGTTTATTTTGAAATTTAAGTGTAGCACAAATTAAGATGCCAGGTGTACAATATACACTGACAGTTTTTAAGCAGTCATGAAAAAGTCTAATCCTGGAGCCTGCCAGTTATTTTAACTCTTTGTATGAATTTGCAAAGGCTCAGTAGTGGAGCTTCAACCATCGTCTGTACATTTACTATACGAATTTGAATTGAACTGATTTTTGAGAAGACTTAATTAACATTCAGCTTGTCCTGTTACACATTTTGACTGTTTGCAGATTCGTTTTTGACATTTGGTCCTATTATTTTTCAATTAAATATATTTACAATACATTAACACCAAATTCTTCTTCATTTTACAACAACTTTGCTTTGCTTAGACATACAGTATCACTTACAATATATATTATATAAGTATTGTATTATAATGTTAGGGCAGCCAAGACGAAATATCTTAGGATCCTATGCAGAGAAGAGAGAGTGTACGAGAGAGGGTCGAGACAATAGGCACAAGCAAGGTCGGGGTATCCAAAGCCGAACTATAAGCCAGGGTCGAGGTCAAGGAACAAGAAACGGGGGACAGAATCCAGCGGAGTCCTCAAAGAAATCCAATCCAATCCGTTAGGCAAAGCCATGGTCAAAGAACAGGCAGAGAGGTCTAAATCCAAAAGAGACGATCAGAGAAGGCGGTTGAAAAAGTGAGGTAGAAGCTCTAGACCGAGCCTAGAGCAGTGCGTACAGAGGGTTTAAGTATGGCATGTACTGGATAGGAGTTGATGAGGAACGGCCATGGGTGATGGTCAACACGTGCAGCGGTGCTTGTAGTTAATAGGTATACGCTGAAAGCGATAAGCTCATTTGCGAGAAATACTCAGAGGACCGGTGGTTGTAACATATGCAGTATACAGTACTTATACTGTATATTAGCACAACAGCTTAAGAGCCAGGTCAGGGCCTGGGAAAAAATCAGTCTGTCATAAATGAAGAGCGTGTTAAGAGACAGGTGAGGCTTTCTTTTCAAGATCAAGAAAACAAAGAAAAAAAATTATTCATAATAGGAGAGATATTTAACTCACTCATTGGACATTGGAATCCAAATTTAGTGTTTCTGTGTCAATACAATATTCAGTTTCCTCTAGCTTGGGGTATAAAATTTCAGTCAGGTTAAAAGCCTGTTCTTAATTAGTGCAAAGATAGTGAATATCATTTCCCCTATCAGGGGAATACCAGGGGATAACAGTTCATGTGCATTCTAAGATTTATCAATATATGATTTAACTCAAAGTTTTTCCGCAAAATAAAATTCTGTATGTGATCCTGCAATGGCTGCTTCTGTAGTGCAGGGATTGGGCGTACGGGCACCTTCCTGGCAGTGCACCAGCTCCTAGCTGCGGCTGAGATGGGACACAGGGTGGACGTGCTCCAGTGTGTCTCCAACCTGAGGAAAAACAAGGAGGGCATGGTGCAAAATGAGGTGACTCTATCCATATCCTTGAACTACCCTTCCTGTTTTCCCTCTCCTGCAGTCACACTCTCCAGTCATCTCCACAAACAACATTAGCTCCTTCTCACACTGTTCCCTGGTGTCACTCTTTCCCTCCTTTTCATTACTGTGTTACCTGCTTCTGTCTCCTTTTCTCTTGTTTCTACACATCGCTGTTCTGTTTATAGCAGGGGTAGGCCACCCTGATCTGAAGAAGTGAAAATGGAAGTTCAAGATCTACAGGAGCTTGAACTTTAAACCAGTTTCTACAACTCAGCCAACCTCTTCATCTCCTGTAGATCTCTTTAACACAGGTTCCCTGCTTTTTTCCATTAAAACTCCTGGTTCATCTCCCTGCACATCTCCCCATAGCCCCTTGCCTCTCTCAGACAATTTCTGAACCTTTTTTCTTCTTTCCCCTTGCTGTCTTTACATTCTGTATAACCCATCTCTCTTCTTCCCCCAGAAGCAGTACATGTTGATCTACAACATTCTGCTGGAGGCTCTCCTCTGTAGAGATACCCGTTTTCCTGCCTCCCAAATTCAGCAGCGGCTCCATGAGCTTCAGAAGGAGAACCCTCACTCCCACCTCACTGGCTACCAGATGGAGTTGCAGGTAAAGTCAAGCAATCCACAGATGAAATTTTGATATGCATCTTTTTGTCCTGCAAGTAATATCTACTGTCAGAAAGCCATTGATTCCTGGTAAGGTTTGCATGCTAGATGAGACTTCCCATCTGTCCTTGGTAGGCCACAAGTCTAATGATGACACACAGACAATTTAGACAGACCAGCCTTGACAATATGTTTTGGAAGGTGGTGGAAAGCTGTAGGGAAATCCAAGCAAAAATACAGAGGACATGGAAATGAATTTTATTCAGTTTAATGTAGGTCAAATGCTGAAAGAAAACACCAGTGAGCATGTGACAGAGGAGCCTGTCACAAGGTACAGATAGCACAGGAAATATATATTCTTACACCTTCCATTGAGCAGTTGCTAGATAAGTTCCTGAGAGCACACACTCAGAGCTTGACTAGTAACTGCTATTACTTAATTTTATATACATTCACATATTTAAGCACAGGTATGAATGAATGGAGAGTACTCTCAAAATGGATGATACTCACTGTTTGTTTTGTGTCAGTACTTCCAGAGTGGGTCAGCCTATGGTGGCCTCAGAAGGCCAAATCTAACCCCACTTCTCAAGGCTTATTTAAGGAGATGGGAAAAACCATGCATTGAATTGGAGAAATGGTTTGTTCCAGAGGAGGAGGGGCTTACAAGCTATTTAAGCTGGCTCCTCAGCCTAAGAGGTGGTCAGTATGTCAGTTAGTGTGACTGAAAACAGAGAGGATGCAATAAGGAGGATTTATCTTCATGTAAAGAGTTAGTTTTGTTTTTTCTGGGGGGGGGGGGGGTTTGTTTTCTGATGCAGGGGACTGGGAGCACTGTAAATAAACTGCACTTATTTTGCTTGAGTGGTTTTGCGATGGAGCTGTTCCGTTATGAAATGGACCTACTTTGGCCTTCCTCAGGCCATTTGCTGACTTTTGTAGTTGACTCAATCCAAATCGTGAAGGAATGGAAATTTATTGCATTGTCAAAGTAATACAAGATTGCTTTTATATAATCATATACCCAGTTGCAGAAGTAAGCACAGGTTGTTTTTGTAGAAGTTTTTCGTGCTTTCTTTGCACACATGCTAAATGAAAATGAGGTATCAGGCAGTTTGTTGTGTTAGTTGCCTGTAAGCCTAAGCTGGATCTCTCAGGACATACACAGTGCAACATGGAACACCACAAAATGTGGACAGTACATTAGAAATGTCATAAATAATAACAGGAACAATAAATATGTTGTGGGACAATAAATATGTAGTAGTGAGAGAACAAAATGGTAGACCATATAAAAAGTGCATAGTGCAGATGTGTATTGAGTCTGAGGCATTGCAGTCAGCTTTTGCAGTAAGGATGTGTAAGGACATGAGGGGAGACACAATCTGGGCAGGCTGCTTTACGGTTGTTCAATCTCTATACTGCACACCTCATGTTTAGAGAGTTGCAACACAAAGTGCCTTGGTTCACTGGGAGCCTTGATAGCTCATCTGGTAGAGATGTACAGTATTAGTGGAGGAAATACCACTGGTGTTGCCTTTGTAGTTTCTGATAGCCTGCAAGGTTATAATTTTGCAGCGAATGTCTTTGTTCATCCAGGTCTTCTAATTGGGATATACTGTGTTGAGATCTTCCTGGTAGGAACACATCTGTCCACACAGTAGTTGATGTAAGATGTGACCAGCTCAGCATCTGACCAGCACAGCACAGTCTTAAGGCTGTGACCAGCTCAGGTGGTGCTCTCTTTAATTTCTGCTTGTAAACAGGAAGAAGGAGCACGGAGGCGTGGTCAGACTTCCATAAATGTAGATGTAAAATGAAGCAGTATGTTCCTTTAATGGTGGTGTTACAGTGTGTTATTGCCTCTAGTGGGAATGGAGACATGTTGAAAGTATTATGGTAGCATTTTTTAACGGCTGCGGTGGTTGAAGTCCCCTACCATGGTAGAAACAGTTTCCAGATGGGGATCTATATTTGCTGATGACACTGCTGTTGACAGAAATAAGCTGCTGTTTTTTTTACCACAAGGAAACTTACATCTATCAAAAGTCCCCTCTAGGTCACCTTGTGGTGGTATCTTAGCAACTGACAAGAAGATTTAAAATTGGGTATGGATTTATGCCATACAAAGGATTTTTGTTTTTCTGTGAAGTTGTATGATGCCATCTTCAGTACCTGTTTGAAAACACTTCAAAAACTGCCTGTTTTTCAGAGAGGCTTTGTCTTTGTTCTGAAAAACAAAAAGCTTTCTTTAGTTGTCAAAATAAACTTTGTTTTTAACTTTTGACCTTAAATGGTTGATTTGTTATTTCAACCTCAAAAGGAACCTTTTCCATTACCTAAGCCATCAAGGATTTCATTATTTTCACCCAAACGTGTTGTTATACTTTTCTTGAATAACTGTATCAGATGTAAAAAAATGTAAACAGTTTTGACTTTTTAATTAAAAAATGACTGAAACACATTTTGCATGTTTCAAGTATTATTTATTTTATTTCCTGTGCTCATCTGAAAAAAATGACATAGACCCTACAGTGTCATTTATGATCTTTCCCTCTATGGAATGTTATTTCTCTTCCAGGCACTGGATAGGTTATCAGAGGTCTTCATGGCCAGTCCACATTGTGAAGCCCTAAAGCCTAATAATAAGTCAAAGAACAGAGACCTCAGCATTTTACCAGGTGAGAATTAGTGGAACTATGGCAGAACATGCTGAAAACCAATCGGTACAGTTCCCAATTGTATCAGCACTTTTAGATAAATGTTTCCTCTTTTTCAATTCCTCATCCATGAGATGCTAACCTTAAATGTAAATGTAAAAATGTGTTTCCAAAGCAAAAACAAAAACAAAAGATATGTGAAAGTGAAAGTCAGAGCTTTCTGTGATATCAAGTATTACAGGAGTGGCCACCTCCATTATATAAGAGTCCTAAACTGTTCACATAATTTTTTTGTGCAAAACCATATACACAACTTAACCATATTATGCAGGATATAGTCTGCTACACACAAAAATGAAACATGAAGTAAAGTATGTTTCCTCTTTTTAGAGAAATGTTAGGATTGAATGTCATACTGTAGCTGTTTGAAATTGTTTTGTTCTTTACAATGGCTCTCATATAACTTTATAAATGCTAAAGCTGTATTTTCTGTAATGAATTAATGGATTTAATGTAGTACAGTATTTATTTTGTGTTAATACACACTTTGCTTAAACTGTACTTTTTACCAGAATATTTTATGTTGCATGTAATATTGTCTTTAAATTGCATTAAATCAATTACCAGTGTTTTAATAGTCATATTTGTGTGACCCTTATTAACTAGATTAACTATACAACCTAAAACAAGGATAGAATGTTTGCTTCAAACATATTTTGACTGACTGAGGCAAGGAAGTGTTGCTAATTAGTAATTTGCATGAATGTGTGTATCTTTTAATAATCTTATCTTCCTGCAGATTTGTAATTATGACAGCCTATATTTGTTTGTACTGGCAGAGCTGAAAGCAGTTCAGTGTGTTTCTTGGCTGACTATCAATTTTGAATCATCATAGGAGCCTCTTTTTTTACTGGCTCATTCATGGTTTTCATTGCCCTTAAAAACATTGTTTAAATAAATGATGTTACAGTTTTACTAAAGTTTATAGTGTATGAACTGATTTCATGTTAAACATGGTTACATAAGAGGTGAAATGATTTGGTAAAATGATTGCCGAAGTAGACGTTGTTGTCCTCTAATTGTCTAATAGTGTGATTTTGTGATCCTTATGAACTAGATTAACTACACAACATAAAACAAGGATAGAATGTTTGCTTCATACACTTTTTGACTGAGTGAGATCAAAGTTCTAAATGAACCTCTTGTAGTCAGCTCTTTCATACATCACAGTTCATGGTTTTCCAGCACACTAATGCCACACAGCAGGGCAATAATAAAATACTTTGTACAACGGTGTAGCAAAGTGTACTGTATCTACAGTACCTATGTACTACATTTTATACCAGTATAATGAAGTCTAACTATTATTGTGATCACAAAGCAGGTAATAATTGTAAAAATAATTTTTGTTGTTCAAAATATTTGAGGGTTTTGTACATTGTAGTTTAATTCATAGGAACAGGGAAAGGTTTATTCCATGCTGAAAAGAAAAGAGACACAACATTTTGGCTGTGTAGTCTTTTTCAAGTGTGACACCTGAAGGTGACACCTGAAGAAGGCTCCACAGCCGAAACAATGTGTCTGTTTTCTTTTCTCTTCAACGTGGAATAAACCTTGACCTGTTCCTTTGCAACCTATGCATGCTGACACAACAACCTACTTGAACTTGAACAACAGCCTACATAGACACCACCACAAAAGATGATAGAGCTGGTGACTTATTACTTATCACTCACGTGACTTATTAACAATGATGGAATAAATGTGAAGCACTAACTCTCCTTCTTTCTCAGTGGATGGACATCATTGCCCCCTGATGTCAGTCATGGGCCCTGATGGGTCTCCAGGTTATGTTAATGCTGTTTTTGCAGATGTGAGTTTTCTCTTGCTGCTTTTGTTTTGTATTTATTACAAAAATTAGCGCTCATGTCTTCCAAGTAGTAGTGTGCTTTTTACTGTAGCTACAGTACGTTTTCAATTCATTCAGTGGATTTATTTTTAAATCCTGCAATATTTTCGTCTTCCGTTAGCAATACTACACTCTTCATATTTTCATGTGGCCACTTTTATTTTGAACTGGTACAGTATATTTCTCTTCTTACTGTTCTGGTTATTCAAGTGATCAGGAAACTGACCAAGGTAGACTTGATTAATGAGAACCAATAGGAGAATTTCTCAAACAAATAGTCACCGAGCATCCCAATCGTTTCAATTATTTGATTTGTGTTTTAAGAACATAAAACAATAAAAATAAAATTATTTCCACCTTTAAGACAGTGCGTCTCTTAAAGAATAACCTAGGAAAAATAAAAATATAAAATTTATACTCAGATACACAGTATGAGAAAATTATCAGTAATGCTTTCCTTGACAAGGGCTAAAAAATACTTTCATAACTCCTTCACAGACATCTCCCAACACAATATAATCCTTTATAGACATTTGTGCAAATGACAATGCAGGGACATCATTTTTGTAACAGTTCGTAATGAGAAAGAAAAAAGAGTAAGAGCAAAGAAGTCAGGTGAAAATGATCATAGATGCCATTAATAATTTGAGAGTTGACAAGGAGCTCATTGACACTGGTCCCAGTATAGATAGACAAAAGTTTTTTTTGCTATGTGATCTTTTTACCATTTTGTGCTGTGTTTATGAAGCCTGTTCTTAGCCCCTTTCAAGTAGTAAAGTGTTACCAAAATCTAAATATTCTGTATAGTCCCAGCCTAGAATGCTGGTAAACACAAACACAGGGAAATTCTAGCAGTTTCACCAAGTAATTGTGAGAACTACCTTCTTCTTCTTCTTTCTTATTTTGCGTAATTTCCATCTGGCAAGACATGCTCCCCCTATAACTAAATGTAAACATTTTTTTTTCACATTTTAACATAATGTTATTTACTTTGCAGAGCCTAACAAGGAACAACAGATTCATTATCACCCAGCTTCCCCTAAAGGAGACCATCATTGATTTCTGGTCGCTGGTTTATGACTACAAATGCACAACTGTGGTCATAATGGGCATACCCAAAAACAGAGATGAGGTTTGTTTGAGACACCGAATGTATTTAAATTACAGATTAGATTAGATTTAGATTTAGATTTGAATAATTCAGTATTTACATGTAGATTAGAATGCTCAACAGCCAACATGTTGTGTTTCTGCTTTCTATTTCGCATTGTGGAATCAACCTTAACTTGCACTTTTCCAGCCAGTACATTCTAACGTAGCTCTCTGCTTGAATTTCTCCAACATAAGTATTTTGACTTGCAAAAATACAGTATGTGCAAATAAAATAAAAATGTCAAGTTACAGCATACAGTGCCAAAGTATTCAGAATCTTGCACAGTTTCCACATTTTGTTGCTTTAAAGCTTGCAATCAAGACACTTTAAAGGTGCAATTACTATTTGTTACACACACTACACAACCTACTCCACACATTCAAAGCAAAAACAAATATATGAAGAAGTAAATAGATACCATGAAAGAATAATTTAATTGTGGTACACCGAAGTACCTTCTTAAGACACATTTAATTGAGTGGCCTCTATCTGTGTGCAATTACAGTGGTCCACATAATTTCACAATTGTCAAATGTCTACCACAGTCATGTAATGAATTTCAAAGATTGTACCATGAAGACCAAAGTGCTTTCAGGCATGGTGGTGGTAGCATTATGTTATAGTTCTGCTTCTCATCAACAGGGACTGAGAAGTTTGTCAGGACTAATGGGAACATAGGTGGAGAAAAATACTGGGAAATTTCACAGAAAAAACAGCTTCAAATCTAAATCCATGGCAAAAAATTCACCTTTGAACAGGACATAAGATCCAAAACACAAGGCCAAAGCTGCACTGGAGTGGTTTAGGAATAAGAAAGTATACATAACCTTGAGGCCCGGTCAAAGTCCTGATTTGAATCCTATTTAGTATCTGTGAAAACATTGAAAATTGCTGTCCATAAACAATTTTCAACTAACCTGAAAGAGCCTAAACAAATCTGCCAAGCAGAATGGGTAAAAACTGCACCAAGCCAGTAGGCAAATGTAGTATACTGTAGCCTTACCAACAAGATTTGTAGCTATAACTGCTGCCAAAGATACTTGAGTCCACATGTCCGAACACATGTGCATTAAACATATTTATTTTTTATATTAAGTTAATATCAGCAAAAACAAATCTGAGTTTTGAAAGTTTAAATTGATAAAATGTGTATCTACAGTATAATTTTGTAATTTCACAAAATGAAACAATACAGGATAGATCTGAATACTTTTGCACGTCATTGTACATGGGATATTAAATAATGATGTGTAAAAATATTAATATGAATGTGTATTGTAACTGCATTCTGGTAAATGTTTATTCGTGTATTGTCTGAAAGTTACATAGAATAACACCTGCATAGCAGTTTATGAGACTACCCTGGTGTTTGGAATATTATCAGATCAGGATTTGTTTTTTGTGAGGTTTAGCGAATACAAAAACAGGAGGTGTGCTGAAGAATTCTCCTGAAAAGCCTGTCTATTATCTCTGGTAGTCATCCAAGTAGCAGATACATTTTATCAGTCCTTCCATACAGCACATAATAAGAAAACCTGGTAGTGGTCGTAAAACCCAGAGCCAAACACAATTTAATTCTCCAGAATATACAGTAATATAAAATATATATGAGAGTTAAATTAGAACATTCAATATTTTAACTATTTCATGTGGTTAATAATGAAAAATAAAACCATGTCCGAATGTGTACTACAATAACTTTCCTATGCATTGTCCACATAGGCTTTCCCTGTGTTCTGGCCAGAGTCTGGATTTTGCACTCACGGTCCTTTCACTGTCAGCCTTTGCAGTGAGGAAATAAAGGATGGCTTCACCTCCAGAACACTAAAGCTCAGCCATACCAAACAGGTGACACTGTGCCCATTGTGTCTGTTGTGTCATATAAATGACAGAGTCCCGCTGTCCGTGAAAGAAGAGTCGTTTATTTCGTATGCTTGCAGACGCCCAAAAGAGTGAACAGTTTAATTCTTTGCCGAGAAGCAAGAAAGATTTAAGAAGAGTAGTTTAACATTTCTTAATTCCTCACCCCCTTCTGGAGAACATTCCTGCAGGACAGAAAAGTACACTTTTGTCAAGTACTGTACTTCCCAATGATGGTGTCA